AGGCAAGATGGCAGAGACAAGATGACTACTTCACACTCACCCTCCCCAGCTAAGTCTTTCCAACTCCTTCCTCCAACCACATCCACCCCACACAATCCAGTCTTTACGGAGTCAAGTTTATTTCCTCTGTGGTTACCATTTACCTCCTAAAACTAGCTTCCATCCAACTAACCAACCAAAAGACCTTTTTGCCCACATGACATACAAGGTGTTATGACAGATGCTGAAGGGTGGGCATGGTATTAAATAGTTCAAAATAGTTCAAGTCTTCAAAACGCCTGTAGTCCAGTTCGGAACTCAAAAGATAAAGCCACCGAGGCACTAGAGTCAAAGCCATGGGTGCAATGGACACGGGCAAGAAAGCTTCCAGCGACCTGGAGCAGAAAGAGCTCGGGCCGTGGGAGCGGGCACAACCTTGCGCCCCCAGGCAGTGACCTTGAGCCAAGGTAGAAAGCACACATGAATGTAGAAAGCGGGTGCGGACAGCAACCCAGGATAACCAGCACTTCTCAAAGACTGGACCTGAAACACGGAAGACGCAACCTAAGACAAATGCAGGGCTGTTTCAGCAAGTGGATCAGCCTGGCTGGAGGAGGTAGAAGCACTGGGCCGAGGGGGGAACGTGGGCTGACAGTGCTCAAGGTGCTCCTTACTGCTTGAGCCTTGACGATCAGCCTCCAGGCTTGATCACAGTTCCTTGGGAAACACAAAACTCCTGGAAGGTCTTGGGCCCTTTGCAAGCAGTGCTTTCCATGCAGACAGCCAGAGGCCCGAAAAGGAGGGTGAGAAAACAGAGGCTGGGGTTTGGGTTAAAGGGCATCACGGCAGCAGAAAGGGGGTAGCAGTGGGTGCCCAACGGTAAAGATGGAAGGGCAGAGGTGAGAGACGGTCTGGAGGGGAGAGGACAAACTCGTCTCAGGGTGCTTTCCCCTCCAGTTCCACTTTTCCACCTTCCCTTTAAAGGGTCCTTCTCAGCCTGCATTAAGAAAAACAAAACAATAACAGCGTGCAACCATTTTTCAAAAGACAGGCACTAAGAGTTTTAGCAGAGAGGCCCGTTAGGAGGCAATCTGGATCACCCCTGGTGTCTCCCCTAGCCCAGAGGGGCCCTCGCAGGACACCCCTGTTTCCGGGGTGAGAGAACACTACAGATAGCTGTGCTGTGTCTCCTGCCTGAACTTGGGAAGAGTCCCCAGGAAAGGTTTGAGAAACCTGAACATCATGGAATCACCAGCTCCCACCTGATACCCAAGGGGCTGGACCCACGTGGCCCTGCCCCTCCTGTACGCCCAGTGCTTGGCTCTCTCGAGCCTCCATTAATTCCCAAGCAGTAAGGAGCACCAAGGTCAAGGTTTCCTTGTCCTCCTTCAGTCTCGAAGGGTGGGGATGCTGCAGAGCAAGCTGCCCTCCCGCCGCAGCAGGAGACCTGGGCAGGCCTACAGAATCAACAGGTAGGATCCACTTCACCCGAAACACGCACTGGCGGAGCACGGAGCACTGTGGGGTGGGGTGGAGAGCGGGAAGGTCACTGCAAATCACACTTGTCCGCCAGAAAGACAACATCTATCTAATGGCAGCTTGAATTCCTGGCTTGCTCAGGAAAAGCTCTAAACCCAGTCTTCCAGCCTGCTTCCCCTCAGAGGCTGGAAGTCAAGAAAACGCGTCTTCCGAACCCAGGCGACCAGTCCCCAGTGGTGGGCATCCCCACGCCCCCGGGAAATCACTTACAGGGCAGAAGAACACACAAGGAAAGAAGCCAGGACCCCAGCCCACCTGAAGCAAACGCTTAGCTTTCCGAAGGCCTCACTCTGATTCCCACCAACAGGCAAGTGCGTTTTCCTCTTTGCTCTGCCTGGCATAAGCAGCAGAGGGCTCTGGGTCACGGTTCAGGCCACAGGCTTGTCAGAGATACAGTCAGAGGCCCCCCGACCCCAAAGCTCCTGAATCAGAGACTCTGTGGGTGGGGCCTAGAAATCTACATCTTAAAAGGCCCTCCATGTGACACTCAGTTCAGTTCAGTGGCTCAGTCGTGTCTGACTCTTTGCAACCCCATGGACAGCAGCACACCAGGCTTCCCTGTCCATCACCAACTCCTGGAGCTTACTCAAACTCATGTCCATAGAGTCGGTGATGCCATCCAACCATCTCATCCTCTGAGACGAGAACCAACCATCTCATCCTCTGTTGTCCCCTTCTCCTCCTGCCTTCAATCTTTCCCAGCATCAGGGTCTTTTCCAATGAGTCAGTTCTTCACATTAGGTGGCCAAAGTATTGGAGTTTTGTGACTCTGAGGCACACAAAAGATTGGGACTTCCCTGGCAGTCTAGTGGTTAAGACTTCACCTTCCAATGTAAGGGGTACAGGTTTGATCCCTGTTCGGGGAGCTAAGCTCCCACATACCTTGCAGCCAAAAAACCAAAATATAAAACAGAAGCAACACTGTAGCAAATTCTTTATTGTTTGGACCATTAAAAATGGTCCACATTAAAAAAAGAAAAAGGTTAATACAAGCCAGTGAAGCAGCTGAGAACCTCAATTCTGGAACCAGACTATCCCAGTTCTGTCAGAACTTCAATCGCCAGTTCTGTCACCCCCTAGTTGGGTGATTATGAGCAAGCTACTCAAAGGGGAGTGTTAATTGCTCAGTTGGGTCCAACTCTTTGCAACTCCATGGACTGGAGCCCAATGGGCTTCTCTGTCCATGGAATTCTCCAGGCCAGGATACTGCAGTGGCTAGGCATTTCCTTCTCCAGGGCATCTTCCCAACCCAGGGATCAAACCCAGGTCTCCTGCATTGCAGGCAGATTCTTTACGGTCTGAGCCGCCAGGGAATACTCCCCTAAAGGGAGTATCAGCACCTATCCTTAACGTTGCTGGAAAAGACCAAACGAGTCCTGGTGTGTCAATGGCACTTGGTAAATACCACTTAGCATGTTATTATTCCTATCTGGGGCACTGATGGGGTGTACGTCATATTCTGTTACCTAACTGAAATGACTTGTGTCCTTGGGTACAGTCTGACACTTAAGGGAACCAGCTATCTTGTGCGCTGTTTTGGGTCCTATGGATCAGTCCACGGCCCAGATCTGTGTAAAATAATAAGGCCCATCCCATAACCATCCAATTTCTCCAGAAATGAATTGTGCGCTTTTGTTTCTTTCTGTGCCTTGGTTCTTGGACATACAGGCAAAGAGCTCCCACCAGACCCCTGCAGACAACACCTACAGCAAGTCCACACCCACAGCCAGACCCTGCTATCTGCCAGAAGTCAGTGGGACTGCAGCATCCCGCTGTAGATACAAGTTCAAGGCTTCCCCTGGATACTTGTTGAGTGATATCAAGAAGCTCAAGGGGTCCTTTCAGAGGATGCTTGCAAATCTGACCCCCATCCCACCTGGAAGGACCCAGAAGGGATCACTGGGAAGTGGGAAGAAGACAGTATGGTGACATCCTTCTCCCTGCCTGCCACCAGGCTAGTCTCTAGCTCCAACTGCAGGGAGGACAGTGGTTGAGCCGAGCCGGGTCTTACTAACATCATCAAAGTGAAGACTCCTTATAATTAGGAGAAGACATTCAACGGAAGCTGTCATAAACACAGGCTCTCTGGTCAACCAGATACGGGGTTCTGACTCCAGACTCTGCCACTTACCAGCAGCAGGACCTCAGGCAACTTAGTTAACTAACCTCTCCAAACCTTCTTGCCTTATTTCTGATATGGGAAATGGAAAAAACCACGCTGGACAGATGTGAACACTCAATGAGATAATGCCCTTGTAACCTCTTGGCACTGTGTCTGGCACACAGTAAGAACTTCACCAATAACTATGATCGTTATCTTTATGACTATCAGTAGCTCTGGAACTGGAGCTGCCAGGGTGGCTCAAGTGGTAAAGAACCAGCCTGACAATGCAGGAGATAGAAGAGACACGGGTTCAATTCCTCTGTTGGGAAGATCCTCAGGAGAAGGACACGGCAACCCACTCCAGTATTCTGGCCTGGATAATCCCATGCACAGAGGAGCCCGGTGGGTTACAGTCCATGGGGTTGCAAAGAGTTGGACAGGACTGAAGCGATTCAGCACACACAGCTCTGGAATTACCGTAAGAACATGAGTTAGAAGATCAGGAAGGGAGATGGCAGCCTTGAATCTGCCTTGGACACCAGTCGTGTGGACCTTGGAGAGCTGCCCATACTCCAGTGAGTAATATTCTGACCTTGGGGGCAGCAAATGTCCAATAATCCATCAGCTCCTGGACCAGATGTAACCAGGGGGTGTTAAAAGTCTCCCTCTCCTCCTGAAGCACTGAGAACATTTTAGCTGGGACAGATCCTGACAACTGTCACTGATTGGATGGCACACCTCTCTTCCCTACACTCCGTAAAAACCTGCTTTCCCTACCCACCGCGAACTTTAACAATTGCCCTCAGGCAGCTCTCGGGGAGAATCCGTAAGTTTTTAATAGCAGCTTCATCGAGGCAGCGCCCGGAAGGGAGGGGTCCTCGTTCCTAGCTGAACAGGCTGCCTCCTAGAGATAACATTCCTCCAGCGCACTACCGAAGCGCGTTAGCTCCAGACCTAAGGCCTCGACTTTTGCAGACGTTTAAGCCCGCCAATGGCCCCTCCCTGTCCGACCCCACCAAAGACTAAGCTGTAAGAGCTAGTTCCTCCCTTAAGTCGCCTGCGCCTCCAGTCGCATTCGGCCGCGCGTCTAGTTTCCGCACTTGGGGCCAACTGGCCAGGTAATGATGCCTGCACGCGGAGACCCGGAGCCAGCTGTGCTGACGTGTTTCCACGATAAAAGCAAACTTACAGCTGGAGCACAGAAAAGAAGCCGGGAATTCTTTCCAGCAGCCCCGGCCTCCTGGCCGAGACGCGGCAGGAAGAGTAAGGGGAGCGCGCGGGAGCCAGGAGGTGGCTGCCTCCCGCCCCGCGAGCAGGGCCCCCGGGGGTGGACCGGATGCCCACGCTGAACACTGCGGGCATCCGCGCGCGTGCTTACCGTTTAGTTGCCGGTAGACAATGTCCTCGAGCAGAGAGAGGCGCTTCAGGACCGCATCCTGGATGGGGCTGGCGCTGTGCGCGCTGAGGTTAGCGGCCTCGGCCCGCGGCCGAATCTCATGGAAGGCGTCTCCGCTGCGCAACGAGATGGGCCGGCACTTGGCCAAGAAGAGCACGAAGCCGGCCACCGCGATCAAGTTCAACACCAACAGCACTTTGACTCTTCTCAGTGAAGCCATCAAACACGCCCAGCCGGCCCTCGCCCCGGACCCGCGCCCCTTCGGGCTCCGGCGAGGCGCGGGGCAGCCGGGGGCCGTGCGTGCGAGCCAAGCGCTCCGGACGGCTGGCGAGGATCCCAGCCGCTCCCGGCCCCACGGCGCGGAGGCTCGGGCAGCGGAGACGGTAAGGAGGTCCGGGCGGTCGCGGGGAGAGCGAGATGGCTCACGTGGAAGCCCTCGGTCTGCAGAAGTGCTCCCGAAGATGCCTTCTCGGTCCTCGGCGCGCGGCCCCTACCAGTCGCCTCGGCTTCTCGGCGAGGGAACGGGGGTCTCTCCTCTGCACCGGCAAGTGGTTCGCCGCTGGACCTCCGGCCGCCGGGAGCGGGGCTGAGGACGCAGGGGCCGGCAGGCGGGGCTGCCCCGGCGCCGCGGCGGGAGCGGCGCGCAGGTGTCGGGCTCAGGGTTCGCCGCCCGCCCGCGGAGGAGCGCACCGCGCCTCGGGCCGCACAGCCACTACCCTAATCCGCAGGCAGCCGTCGCGGCGCGCGGGCCGCGGTCTTCAGCGGGGGACCGACTCCCCGGGGCGGGCGCCTTTGTTACGCTCACCGACCCGTTCCATCACGCCGCGCTGAAGAATAGCCCGTGGCCAGCGCCCGCATCCTCGCGGCTCCGCAGTCACGCTCAAGTCTCAATTACTCTTAAAGTGGGGACAGCACTAGGGGGCGGGCGAAGGGGCAGAGCGAGACGTCCTCTCCGCCCCCTCGCGCCCGGGGACACCCCACCCCGCCGCCAAACTCACCAGCGCGCACAGAGCCGCGGGCTCCCGGACACGGTCCAAGTCCTGAGCCCACGCAGTGAGCCTTCGGGGCCTGCCGGTCACGCCGGCCTCTCTCCGAGCTGGCGCGTCGGGAGGCTAGCCGGAAGGCGGAGTCGGACCTCAAAAGTCACAGCAGTTCTGTACCCCCCTCCACGAACGTCGCGGGGAGCGCGGCGGGGAGGGACGCGCGCCGGCGCACCCTCCGCTCGCCAGAACCGGCAGCGCCTGCCGCTCTTCCCGCGCCCCAAGGAGCCAAACGCCGAGTCTTCTAATTGGTGGACGCGGTGATACCGCCGCTGCGGCGCGGAGAGCCCACACAGCCCCGGGGCGCGAGAGCCCGGAGGGGACGCGCAGGTGGCGGCAGAAGGCGGGGCGCGGCCCGAGGGGGCCCGGCTGCAGCGCCAGCTCCTCCTCCGGCGCTCCTGGCCACCCCTCTCCCCGCGAGCCAGTCGGCCGCCGCCGCCCGCAGGCTGCCGGGCGCACAGCTCCCCGGCTCGCCGGCTCGTGCGCGCGCACCCGGAAAGGGTGGGGGCGCCGGGAGAGTGCGGGCCGCGCGGGATGGGGGCCGTCAAGTCATGTTGACGGCTGCTCGCGTTGCAGGGACCCTTTGGTTCTCAGCACTCCCCGAGCGGGCGGGTTTGTTCCATCCCGGCTGGCGATGAAGACATCCTTTCTCTGTGCTCGCAGCTCCGCTTTGCGTGGCCAGAAATGGCTAGAGGGAAAATCTGGCCTGGAGACTCGGATTCCGTTACTTCGGGAGCCAGGCCGGTCGTTGGTGGGCTGGGTGCGTTCTCTCACCGTCCAGGCGAAGGTTTCTGTGTCCAGCCCCCACCTCTATACGCATTTTATCATAAGAAGCGTATCTTGGCGACTGGATTTCCGAAATTTCTTCTTCCCAAAGTCAGGAGCTCCTGATACTGAAATTCAAAACCCCGCGCTGATCTCTTTGGTTCCTTGGGCCTGAAAAAGAACAGGCTGTCAACTAACAAAGATTAGATCAGGCAGTGAAGCCCAATAAATCTGGTGATTTCTACCTATTTCGATCTCATTAAAGTTGTTTTTGTTTTTTTCATGTTACTGTTGTGATTTTTTTTTTTTTGCTGATATGTTATTTTAAATGTTGATTTTCAACATTGAAAAGTGAGTGAAAAAATGTAACAGTCTTTTAGTTCTATTCCCTTGGTACTGTGTCCAGGTTCCTTAGGTTTTGCTTTGTATAATCTACAAGAAAGTGACTAAAAAACTGTTAGATGAGAAAGCCACATCAGAAGCCATAAGGGACAGTTTTTAACCCCACGTGTTGGGCACAAAAGAAGTTGAGTAGAAAGAAACCCCAGTTTATTGAGAGGTTGTAAGACAGACAGTGGGCCAGACACAGCCTCTCGGTTATCTCACTGAATACCCAGTTGAGTTAGATGTTATTATAACCACACGTTCAGATGGAAGCTAGCCCAGTCAAGGGAAGCTTATGCAAAATTAGTGTTTGAACTTTCATTCAGCCATAGGCATGCAAGTGGGAAGGTTGAGGCATTGGGCTAAGGTGTCAGTTTAGAGCCTTAAACCTAATTCTAACTGTAACCCTGAGACCAGATGATGGATGAGCTGTCATTTCTTTTCAAATTTAGACAGGCTTATTGATAATTTCAGGGCTTTCCTAGTGGCTCAGTGGTAAATAATTCTCCTGCAAGGTAGGAGACACAGTTTCCACCCCTGGGTTGGTAAGATCCCCTGGAGGAGGAAATGGCAACCCACTCCAGTATTTTTGCCTGGAAAAAAAATCCCGTGGATAAAGGAGACTGGCAGGCTACAGTCCATGGGATCACAAAGAGTCGGACATGACTTAGCATCTAAGGACAAGCACGACATTGGTGATTTCACAGTGTCCTTTCACAGGCTGACAAACAAATAGGAAACTGAACCTTACATCATGCACAGATGCCCTCAGCAACTCCGTACAGTGAGTCAGACAGGACAGCCCTCATTTCTCTTCTTCCATCCCAGTTTGTTTAATCCTAGACCAGCCTCAAAACAATCTTAGCATGTGCAGTGGTAAGCTATCTTGTCAGTGCAGACATCTCTGGGGTTTCTGGGACACTTCTGGCAGGGGTTGTCCAAACTGAAAACTTGAAGGAAGAGTTTTCACACCAGTGCCAAGCAAATTCACCTAAAACTCACCCCTATGCCCCTCTGGTATAGAAAAGTTCTATTTCTTCTGTTCCAGAAGCTTAGAGCCCAGTAGTAAGTGGTTCTAAGCCATGGTGGGTCTGATTCCCAGGCATAAGCATATTTAGGAGTAGGACGCTGGAAGCAAAGCAGAAGAAATAGCCTCAGTCAACTCATTGGAAAAGACCCTGATGCTGGGAAAGATTGAAGTCAAAAGGAGAAGGGGATGACAGAGGATGAGATGGTTGGGATAGCATCATGGATTCAATGGACATGAACTTGGGCGAACTCCGGGAGATGGTGAGAAACAGGGAGGCCTGGTGTGCTTCAGGCCATGGGGTCACAAAGAGTCCGACAGACTTAATGACTGAACAACGACAAGAACAAAGTTTCCAGGCAAGATTTAACTCCAGTGAGATTTCTTTTCAACCCTCTAAAGCCAGAGATGTCCCTTACCCAAATTAACTGATGGTTTTATCATGAATCTTTAAAAATATATATATTTATGTATTTTTTTATTTTTGGCTGCATCAGGTCTCAGTCGTGGCATGCAGGATCTCTCATGGCACACAGGCTTAGGTGTTCCACAGCATGTGTGAACTTAGCTCCCCGACTAGGTACCAAACCTCTACCCCCTGCGCTGGAAGGTGGATTTTCAATCACTGGACCACCACGAAATCCCTTATCATCAATCTAATAGGCTTCTCCCCTCACATTCCACATGCCTCCTGGATAGCTTCTGCATTTCTAAGTGACAACTGACACTTTAGACCCATTGAGTGACCCCCTGTTATGGGTACACCCTGAATCCTGTCACCACACAGAGATGCTGCTCTCATGCAATCCTGCAATCCTGCACGGAAATTCCACCCTGTGTCCACTGCTTTTTTACTCTCAACTCCAACCAAACAGATTCTCCAGCCACCAGCTACCCCTGTCTGCCTCCCAAGCATCGAAGCCCTTCCATCTCCACTTGAGTTCCTTCCCTATCCTTCCTGGTTACTCGAGATCTGGTCACTCATTTATTTCAAACACAATTCCCAGGAGTGGCCACAATTCACATACACTCACAGACAGGGTCTCCCGCTGCCCCCAGCCTGTCAAAATCCATCTCTGGGGACTTCCCCAGCGGCCCAGTGGTTAGGACTCCTCACTTCCATTACAGGAGCATGGGTTCCATCCCTGGTCCAGGAACTGAGATCCTGCATGCCAAGCAGTGCTGCAAAATAATAATTGAAATAAAACATTTTAAAAATACCCACCTTTGAATCAGTATCACCCAGACAAGAAAGGTCACCTGGGAAAACCACATTACCCCAAAGTGTGGGGACATTACCAACTGATGGTATATAGGGTGTATAGCATGAAATGGATCCTCATTCTGCTTAAAAGAACTGTTCCATGTCCCTAATCAGCTTCTCTCCCCAGAGATGTCTAGAAGACTCCAGAAGCTTGTAAACACCCTTTATTCCGGGAGGAAACACTCATAACTTCCATCAGATTCTCAACGGTGGTCAATGACACCAAAATTTGAAGAACCTGCTGGCATATGTAAGATATGCAAAAACATAAGCAGCTGAATATTTATTGTAGGCAGCTGCTTATGAAATCAGTGGTGTCAAGGCAAGCAAGGTTGATGGAGCGCTCTGGTTGCTTCCATGTCTTGGTGGAAGAAAGAAAACTCTGGACTAAAGCCAGCATGCTGTATGAACATTGAACTGAAGGAACGGAACGAAACAGCTTCTGCCTGCTGAGTAAATTCTCACACCTGAAAGGAGCACACCTAGCCACACATACACAGAGATTAAAGGGTCCGTTTACAGACTCATCAATCGTTCTGTGCCCAGAGGCTCCCGAACGTGTGGGTGACCTCCCTCAATCAGTGACTGCCATCTGTCTACATGCCACTTGCCCCCAGTCCAGCTAGTAAAACCAACAAAATTAGACCTCAGTGGCTGTGTGGCCTGCTCATCAGGGAATCTGGGTTTCGTTCCACCTGTTCCCAAGAAGCAAATCAATTCTCAACTCTAAAATAAGAAAT